GGGGGGGGGGGGGGGGGGGGGGGCAGAAAACGCCCCCGGGGAAAGCCCAGCCCCCCCCCCCCCCTGAGAAAAAATATGTCCCACAATAAACCAACAGGTACTCCCCCCACCCCCCGAAAATCTTAAGTGCCCCCGGGGGGGGGGAATTTCTGAAAGAAACACTGAATGCGACTTAGCTCTGCCCGCCGTATGACTTAACGCTGCCCGCAATGTGGCATAGCTCTGCCCGCCTTGTGACATAACTCTGTCTGCCACGTTACATAACTTTGCCTCTATGTTGATATTACCCCTATCTGCAATGGGGCATAACTCTGGCTCCAAGTGGAAACAAACCCTGCGTGCCGCATTATGACAAGACTATGCCGTACATGGGACATAACTCTGCGTGCAATCTATCATAAACATGCACGCCTCGTGGCATGACCCTGCCTGTAATTGGCTCCTCTTGACCATTTGGCCTGTTAATCTAATCTACATGATAGAAAATAGCTAAGAGTGTTCGCTGTCGAGAGGAAACGTGAATAATAATTGTGCTATTGAGGCTTAGATAACCCTGACCCTCACTTTATCCACGAAAATCGTTGTTTATTAAAACTTAGATACCGTACTCACAAAGTGTATTAATTGTACTCATGACTATCAAAGGGGAGACAAACTGAGCTGGACCGGATTCTTATGAAGGTCTTTGTGTAAACAAATGAATCATTGCACATCGAGCCTATGGTTTACGGAGGTAGTGGCGCCATGAAATGACACATGTTCTTTCTCATTTTTAACTTGAACAAAATGATTATTAAATTGCACGTTTCATTAAAAACATAATATGACTATGAGTAGGTTATATAAGAATACATATGATCAAATTTATTGGAACTTGATCATAAGTAAATTCACAATAATAAAACGTGTTAAAGTTAAGTCTAAATTATGTAATATATATATATTAGTTCACGCATCCGCCATTTCGCCATTTATCCTGATAATGTGTTTTAATATGTGGTGTGACTGAGGACCCGATCGGTTCATATATTTGTGGTTCAACAGTACTTTGTCTAGCTCAAAACATATGCGTCTTGTTCTTTCCGTAATCCAATATTATATGTTCATATATATGGGAACTTTGTGACTACACTTTAACAAAATTTGTTTCAGTTATTTATTTTTTTTCTTTTCTATTTATAAATATTAGCGTTCATTAAATCCCGCATTCGCCATTTATCTCCATAATGTGATTTAAAAGGTGGGTGAAGACCTTAGCTATCATAGACGCGTAACTCACAAGTGCTCTGTACAGCTTAAAAACAAATGCGTCTTTTTTTTTTCTTTCTGTAACCCAAAATTAATTAATTTTTTTTAAATTGATCCATACGATATTTACAGATACAAACTTTAAGAAAAATATTTATCAAAACTCAATTGATCCATACGATATTGACAGATACAAACTTTAAGAAAAATATTTTATCAAAACTCAATTGATCCATACGATATTGACAGATACAAACTTTAAGAAAAATATTTTATCAAAACTCAATTGATCCATACGATATTGACAGATACAAACTTTAAGAAAAATATTTATCAAAACTCATATTTATTTATTTTAGGGAACAAAAATCGCTTTGAATTGAACAGCATTGATCTATTTGATCAAACACCATTCCATCATAACGTCATGATATAGTTGGCCCGTTAAGATTCTTGCTGACTTCCTCGCTAGGTGTGCGTAGAAAAAAAAAAGGGGGTGGGGGGGGGAGGGCATCAGTAAATAAAAAAATTGACGAAAATGATTTTTTACAATTGTAATAACATAAAAACGCACCACAATTTATTTGGACCAATGATAGAAACTCAACTGATCGTAAAATATAGAAGTACATTAGTCTTTTTTTTTTTTTTTTCAAAGATCTAGCTACAGGTTTTAACGAGACAGCAGTGCAGACCGGTTTACTCTTACGATTGTGGCGTTCAATGTAATGATGTTGAGGTGAAAACATTATATATCCTGTATGTTTATTTTTGTCTATAAAAGATAAGGTATTGAACGATTTGACTCTGCTGACCATCTTGAAGTCTCAACGTTCATATGTTGCAATAAATCATCTAAGTGTAAGGGACTAAGGGACATCTTTGTTAGCACACTGGCCAAACTGTGTTCGGGGTAGGGGCGTTAGTGTAAGGTTGTTTTTTGCCTTCGTAATAATTATTATCATATATGAATTTTTTTTTAAATATTATTTTTTCGTTCAAGTTGGTTTTATCGTTTAAATCCTTTGGTTCTGGGATAACTTTTTTTTTTGTTTCAGATCTGAGATGTTATTTTGTTTCTCCTGCTAAATTCTAATTCAGCGATCTGTAATATGTTTTATTCTCTCCATTCAGTTTCCAACAAGGATCTGAAGTCTGTACGTTTAAAAAAATGTTCGAAGGACAATTTTTTTGAGGGAAGTTTGCTCGAACTGAAATCTGTTCGAAGTGAAATAATTGTATGGGGGGGGGGGGGGGGGGTTCAACAAACATTTTTATAAAAATTATAATAATTCTCCAATTTACCGAATTTCGTTTCGAGAAGATTTCGTTCCAACAAATTTCTGTCTATTTTTCCTTCGAAAAAAATGTGTGTGTGTGTTTAAAATAATGATTTTATGTTTATTAATCCGCATGTCACTTGTTTCAAGCTAGAAATCACCATTCACTGATTTGTGTAATAAATACAGAAGTTGTCATATTGTTTTGAGGAAACTTTAATCTGTTTATGTTTGGAAGTTTCGTAATAATTTCCGAAAAGTTCCTTTTTTAAAAAAAAAAAATACTTTCTGACTTAAATGTAAAAAAAAAAATTGAATCTTTCGAGAACTGATAAAAAAAATAAAGTTCTAGCTCGGTCGTGATAAAATTGTGGGTAAAAATGCCCCCGGGACGGGTGGGAAAATCTTTCTTTAAGCGTTCCGTTACTGGTCCGCTGATAGGAGCTCCACATAACCCAGCATTAAATAAGATACATGACAATAGTGTATGCCATTGTAAATATATTATTCAATAAATTTATCCAGTAAAACATGTGTTCGTTTTAGTGTGATCAGTTTTTTCATCAGTAAGCTTCAGCATGGCGATAAGTTTTGATGTCGACCCTTGGAAAATTATTAAAGAACTGACCATTAAGAAAAAAAACCAATCACATTAAAGACCTGACCATTAAGAAAACATAACGAAAAAAAAAACAACCAATCACTCAGCCCATCTAAAACAACAACATCTATAAAACACTGTAATAAGGCGACCCGTTACTCTCTGTACTTCGGGCGGGCCCGTGATGTTAAAATGGCAGTCCAACGTCCTTGGATGGCAACAGAGTCTGATGTCCACTGGTCCAATTTGTTTTGTTCTCGGCCACGCAGATTAGAATCGTTGAACATTAAACATTTGAAACTCTTGGTCAGCTGCTCAAAAATTAGGACTTACGTTTCCCACGACTACGATCAGACTTGTATTTTTATTTATTTTTTTAATTTTTTTTTTTTTTTTTTTTTTTTTTTTTTTTTTTTTTTTTTTTTGGGGGGGGGGGTCTTTCATATTCCACCGATTGTTTGTCTATTGAATCAGATGATTGAATCACAAACTGAAACAGTTAATAAAGATTCAAACGGGAGGTGCCTCTTTTAGTAACCGACGTCTGATATGTCTTTAGTTTATATTTTGGTTAAGACGGATCCACAGGCGCGTAGGGAAGGGATTCGGTCCGGCCCCTGGCGGCAAATTTTTTTTTTATGCAGTGGGGGCATTTTCGACCAACTGCAGAGGGGTTTTTTCGAAGGGGGGGGGGAGGTAAATATCTTGACCCGCCCCCAGGTAGCACTAACCCGGTTACTCCACTTGCGCACCCACTTGGCTGTTTTAGAAGTCAAAGACTGTAAACCGGAAATGATATGATCATAATTTATACGATGTTATTTCATCATATATAAACAATGCTTTCGTCTCATTTTCATTATCTATTAACACCATAAAATGCACACTGTTCTGTATGGTGTGTACAAAGTGTTAAGTCTGATATCACTTTTAAATGAAATTGAATCGGGGCTTGTGGAAGAAATAGTTATTCCTAAATAGCAATGCCGTCGGTTCAACAACGATTTTTTTGTTTATGCTTCGCTTCACTGCTCCCACGGAGAAGATGTTATGGAAACATGCAGGTTGCCAGTAAGAAGACATGTGACCGATGTCATTTAGATCATATTAATCGTGTATTTTGAATGTCCATATTATTAAATTTAGGTGAATTCCCCCCCCCCCCCCCAAAAAAAAAAACCCCCC